GTTTTGTCATTCAAATGCGGACCATACATTTTTTGCATGTGTATAATCCTCGTCAGAGAGAGAATTCCCAGTTAACCTACTAAAAAAGTCTGTTTGTTTGGGAAGTCGGGTCAGTTCAAATTTGGACTCATCATCCATATGGTCATAAGGATACACCCCTTTTTTCAGTAACAGGTCCACCTGAGAAGAGTTTGGAAATTCCTGTCTTAAATGAATGAACTGGGACGGGTCTTTCTTCACCAAATTTTTAACCAAAGAATCCAATGAATTCGAAAGAAACTGGAGAGAATCAATGAATCGCAAATTTCTAATGGAGAAGGAAATGTATTTCTCAATGTTGTTGGCTAAGCAGCTGAGTTTTTGTTTCGCAGTGTTGTCCAGTTGCCTCATCAATAAATGAGAATCATAACCTCGTAGGTTGTGGAATATAATGGGTATGAAGCAATCCTTTCCCTCAGTCATTTTACCCTGGTCCATTTTCTTTCCCTTGCTCTTACTTTTTTTGAACTTCAGTTGAACATCACAATTCTTATCTGCAGCACCACGATAGTTATTTCTTTTACCAAATGATCATGGTCGCGCACTTTGATAGATGATGAATGAACAGGTTCCTCACATATATGACAGATGTTCGCCATTTGAAATTTCAGTTCTGTTTCTTTTGTTATATCGATAGGAAAGGACTTTTGTAACTTTTCATTGATGGCTTTCTCTTCTTGTAATAAAGCCTCAATGAAATGGGAAATGACATCAGGGCCCCGGTAGACGACTGAGGGTTTGGTAAGTTCAGGATTTGAACTGATGAATTTATAACAATACCCGGAAGGTTCATGCTTTTGATGAAGGCTTGTATTTCTTGATTTGTCATTTACCTTTCTAGTCAAAGCTTCAAAATCAGTATATATGACAAACGGTACCTTCAACTGGTTTTGAATAGATTCAAATCGAATCCATTTGTTATATTCATTAGGCAATTTGATCTTCTGAGGGTTATGTTCAGAGCAGTAGAGGGAATGATTGTTTAACAAATCCTGTCTGCTAAACCCATGGAGACATCTTCTAAAATAAAATGCTGCTGCCGTATGTTTTGTTCTATGTCCCATGAGACGACTACAGTTTCTGAATACAGAAAAATGTCTTTTCTCTCTCTCAGAAAGCAGCAGTAAATCCACTGTTTTGTCAAACTTTTGTTTGCTGATATGGAGAGGAAAGACTTACTCTTCATACCCATAGACATTTACCGAGATCTGGTTTTGATTCTCAAATTTTGGGATATGTGACAGTGGTATGGGAAAATCAATGCCTTGAAGATTCAACTCTGATAGAAATGAAAGGTATTTACCAACTCTCTCAGGATGTTGCTTTCTATCTAAAGGGTGCAAGGCAGCCAATACCGACCACATGAAAGATTTTTGGTCATTGTTATGGATATTCATTAAAGCTTTCTTATCTGCCAAATACTTTGGGGAGAGGAATGTATGAACTTGCTGACAGAGGAACATACTCAGCTGTATTCATCTCAAGTTGTATGATGCCCTCTAATATCCATCCACTCCCCTCAGCCTGAAACTCTTGAGATGAAGCATACAAATGCTGAAAAGCCTCAGCTAACTGCTCATTGATTTCACCCAAACATTTTTCTGCTTCTCAAAACAGGTTCAGCCAAATGACTTTTATTGTTTTCATCATATTTGATCAACTTTAATTTTAGTGTTAAAAACCATTTCATACCTTTTTTCTCGTGAAGGAAATCATGCAAAATTGTTTCAACATTAAACTGTTCATCGGCAAGAAACTGCAGAATGTCAACATTATTTGACTCGTTGGGCAGTATTGTTGTTGTCCTCAGCGATCCTTCCAGTGCTGAGCTCTGACCCCCTCCAGTCTGGTTTACCTGCCTTGCTTCATAACGTTGGTGTCTCCTCACACAGCTGTCGCACTGGTCCACACGCTCACTGTAGAAGTGCTCAGGGAGTGGCCGGTGACAACTCATGCACTCACGAGCTGAACGCGAACAACTCATGCAGAATAGCTTATTTGGCAATAAACACTTATGATGGCCACCCCAATTACACATGGCATATCTGGCTGGAATGTTGCTGTCACTGTTAAGCTGCAGACAAGGGCGTTTTGCTGAGGTTTCTGTAGCTGTTTCACTTCCCTTCCTCTTCAGAGTAGTTTCACATTTGTGACTTTGAAGTACTTCCAGGCGGGAATAACATTTTCCACATTGCTCACAGTTATATCTCTCATTGTTGTGAACTGTCCTAACATGGCGGAGAAGATTTCTCTCTTGCGTGAATGTCTTCGCGCATGTATGACAAGTGTGCTGTGCTTGAGAGGGTGTTACATTTTCACCGTGCGTCATGTTATTTGCAAGCAGTTCAATAGGTTTTAAAATCACATCAGCATCATGTATCAATCCATTCTCTGCAGCCCATTTCTCTAAATCAGACAAAGAATCCACTCTGTCCAGAAACCTTTGTTTTTCTGACATTCTTTAATACAATAGGTAGTGTGTTTAATACTGTTCAGTATATACAACGGCGTGACTTATAGTTTAACTTTTACAATAACGTATTTTAGCCTACAATAGGCGTGCCAGTGCAATAGTATTATATTTTAAACAAGCCCATTCACCTTAATATGATATCATTCTGAAAATGTGACAGTTAGGCATTGGTACTGCTTACTTACCTTTCAAAATGTTTTCTTCACTGCAGTATGTGTAGAGAGCTCCCTCGCAATCCTTAC